TAGGCGTGTGGACCATCCGTCCTTTCCTTCTAGAAATGTATGTCACCAGAGCGTGCTGCTGGATTTCCTCCTGCAGAACAGGATGTCACGAGTCACGAAGGAGAGTAGAAGGAACACAAGACATACAATATTGATCATGGCGCATCCGGCTCCAATTTTTCTCCCCGCGCAAGCACTCTGACGCCCTTGCCCGGCTGGCCGACCATCTCCATCATCGCCATCACGGTGGGCGGTCGCTCGACCATTCCGCCACCGCCTCCCGCTCCGCGCTCATGAGAGTTTCTCCCTCCCCTACCGCCACCAGGAGCTCGCCCCTCACGCCCGGCGCCACCATGATGGTGACCACGACCATGCGCGGGAGTTGTCGGGTTACGCTTCCTCGACCCCTCGTCTTCATCGACGCCGGGCTTAACTTCCATAACCTGAATGCCTGCCTTCCTTGCCCAGTACGCGACGAGGGCCCCAGCAGAGCGCGGTTCATGCTTCTGCGGTGCCGGGAGGGGAACGGGAGAGGAGTCGGTTTGCACGGTGGGGGTGAGGGTTAGCTGTGCGGGGGAGGAGACGACGGCGAGGATGACTTTCGGTCCCGGCAGAGTTTTGTCAGAGATCTTCTTATCATCTGCTAGGGTATTGTTATTCTCGCCAGAGATCACGGCGGCCGTGCTGCTGTTCACCTCCCAGCGAGCGCAGCAGATAGTGCGGCGGACCCACTCGGGCGAGCCCAGGCCGGTGTTAGCAGCAGAAACCTTGTCCTTGTCCTGATCGTCGCCGGTAAAGGTAATGTCATCCCACAGCACGAAGGCGTCATCCCGCTGGACACGGATCCGAGAGTTGACGCCGACCTGCGCCTCAAGAATGCGGGAGGCCGCGCGAGCACGCTGGGCGAGCGGGGAAGTACCCTTCTTCAGGAGATCGAGGGTGTTCAAGGCTGCTTCTGGTGTAAGGGGGTAGAGCAGGTAGATATATGGACTAATGACGAGCCTTCGAGGGGGACGATGACTATCTCCTGCCGGTCGTCCCTGCACCACCGCTTGAACTGGCCAATGCAGTGGATGAGAACGCTGGCATCAACTACCACAATGTCTGCATCCTTGTCCCACCTCTCCCCGTCCCTCGTCTTCGGTCTCTCGGTCTCCCCGCCACGCTTCCCCGCACCCGGAACAAGAGGGCGCTTCCCTCGTCCGGTAGGGGTAATGCCGCGATCAATGTGCTCATGCGGCGAACGCTTGCGTTCCCGCCAGTTGTTGGAGTTAGTTGCAGGGCCGGAGGTGACTGTCTTTTCGAGCTGTTCGACCTGGTGATTCAAGAAAGCGGCGCCGAGGGCGCGAGACATGGCTAGTTTGTTGCTGTTCATGTTGACTGAGCGGCCCTAGGAGATTGCTTGTTTAGAGGAAGTTCGAATCTCCCTTCATATTTATACAGATACTGAGTCAATACATACCTATGGGTGACGAATGAGGGGCTGTGGCCTGTACAAGGTGTGTGAGTGCGCAGCTCGAAGCTTCTCCTAGTGTGGAAGTGGTGGCTCTGCATAGCCACACTCTCCGCATTTCCGCCGGCTTCTTCCAGCTTCTTCCTCAAGCAGTGCTTGTGACGTGCATTGTCAGGGACTTGGAATTTTATTCTACGCTTCTGAGAATGGTGAGTCTTGTACAGGACGACGTAGCATAGCTGAGAAGGTCTCCATCATTAGGATATTAGTCGCTGACTGTCCTTAGGTCTCGCGAGTAACAAACAAATAATGTCGATGATGTTATATGTCGGACGCGTGTATCTCTCGGATGATGGATTCGAATCTATGTGATGAAGCAAAGTGAACAATGATCACCTGATCATCCGATATTAAGGTGCTTCTTAGAAGTGACCTCCTGCTTTTGGATGGCTTGTAGTCACGGACGAGGTGGGACTTACTGTACGTGACTACAGACTCTCAAAAATACAGGATATACGGTCAAGTCTATTCTCCAGTTCGCCTGCACCTGCAGCGAAGTACTCTTCTAATTTTACTGGTTCCTGTAGGTGCAGCGGGTATTATTTTGAATCCGATCCGCCCCTTTCAAGCTCGGCGTTCAAAAGAATAACATCCTGCCTCACCCGGTCGCCCTTTAACTAGGGGCCAGCTGTATGGTATACCTATCGACACTGCGCGGCAGGAATTGCATCCTGAGGTCCGGCGGAGGGGGTTCCCCACGTAAAGAAGACTCAACCAGTCTGGAAGGCCGACCCACCAAGCGAAGTCCCCGCCCAGCTGGTGAGCGTTTTGCGGGATTTAATCCACAGGAGCTGGCTAATTGACCTACGTGCGTCTTGGAGATGGACGCACTTGCTGAACCTTGAACGTGGGCTAGCGTAATTCGGGGGGAAGTAGGGCGGGAGGGGTCTAACCTGACAGAGGCCCCTGTTGGTCTCTGGGATGGTCGACGTCAAGTGTGTCAGACGAGGAAAGATGGTACGATTAAGAAACTTGAAGACCTAGTATCCGAACCAACTATTTACCGTGGCGAAGGTGACTCACCTTCATCACCCGCACCTCCTTTCTTACCATGAACACTTTCATCTACCACCTCCTTCTACTGGCACGGTAGAGAAGTCATGCCGTTCAAGTTGAATCAGTCAGTGATGCACAACTGTATTCTCCAGCAGGCAAGAAGAGAGTTGCTTGATATACGCGATGATTTCATGCAACATTTTAGGAGACCTCGTCAAGTACATTGCCGAGGGCGCGCTGGAAAAGCCGAAGAGCCACAGCAAAAGGCAAACAAATCCGTCGCGGTTACGCTCCCCACCTCTAGCCTGCGGAGCCAACGATGGGGTACATGCCCAACCTTTGGAAACTAGTCTCGACACCAGACCGGTGTGGTTGAGTTATACCAGTCGTTCGGCTTCTGTATTGTTTTTCTGCTATAGTATTACTTTCCAGGTTCCGGCGGTCTCCGTCACCTGCCGGGAACCACCATTCACGAGTCTCAGAAACACCACCAACTATGAGCGCAGTTCGCTGCGACTTACTGGAAAGAACACAGATGTCAGCTGTTTTGAGCTAAGTGAACTTTATGACCTACAAACGATCAACAGCCAGAGAGTCAGAACCTGGTATAGAACATCGCACGAATCGCTCCAGTCACGCCCTCTGTGAGTATTCAGTGCAGGTTATCTCTTGTATCGTAGATCTGTCCAGTGCTCAGGACTAGAAACTTTAACCACTCGGAGTTGCCTGAAGCAGAAACGAGGTCCGAGACTTTCAGTTCCCTTTCAATGTCTGGACTATCCTATCGACTCATTCCAAAGACATGGGTAGTGGCGAGAGGCAGGAGAGCACGCCGACGCTCTCTTATTAGCTGCTCTTTGTCTGGATTCCTGCGTCGTCAGAATTGATGTCAGACATGTACACCTTCGTCCAGACTCCATTGTCCGAAAATATCGCTACCTATGCGTAACGCGTGGAATCGTACTCGGACTTTGGATCCAAGGTACGTCTGTTCATCTACCACTCTGACTGTCCATTCTGACTTCATCGTATTCAAATCCGGGAGATGTCTGTACGACATGTCGAGCTCCCGGAGAGTATAAAAGCTTGCCAGACGATTCCACCTGTTCCAAACGATTTCCGTCGACACTAGGCGGTACTCATAGGATCACTGAAACATCATGTCTACCCTATATTTTCCGTTGAACGACGGCACCACTATCCCAGCACTGGGTTTTGGCACTGGTACGGCTCTAATGAAGCAAGGCGCGGTCAACGCCACGAAGATCGCTGTCAAAACTGGCTTCGTGCACTTTGATACCGCGCCGATGTACGGCACCGAGGACCAGCTCGGTGCCGTTCTCGACGATCGCAGCATTCCGCGTGATAAGCTGTACGTCACGACAAAGTTTCTTGAGCTCAAGGGCGGCGAGACGGTAAAGAGCGCCTTACAAGAGTCTCTCAGGAAGCTGAAGCTGGAATATGTCGATTTATTCCTGATACATGCACCGTTGCACTTTGCTGGGAGGTTGAAAGAGGTATGGGCAGAGATGGAGGAGGTAAAGAAGGAAGGTCTCGCACGCTCGATCGGGGTGTCGAATTTTGGAATCGAGGACTTTGAAGAGTTTTGGTCAGAAGCTACTATCAAGCCTGCCGTCAATCAGGTCAGAGACGACTACGGATGCTTTCTCTTTCTCGAGCTAACCCTTGAACAGATCGAATTCCACCCATACGTTTTGGGCCAGTTCGAACCCTTGCTGGAATACTCCCACACATATGGCATCCGTCTTGAATCCTACGGAGCGCTCGCACCTATCACTCGCGAGCCTGGCGGACCTCTCGACCCGATTCTGTCCAAGCTCCGTACAAGACTCGCAGGGACTTGGGGCAGACCTGTCACCGACGGGCAGATCCTGTTCAAGTGGTGTCTTCAGAAGGGCATCGTTGTAGTAACGTGAATTGATTCGAAATGTATGAAGAACTCGAACGGGCTGACACTAGTGCTAGGACCTCATCAAAGGAAGACCGCATGAAGGAATATCTGGCGGTCCTTGACATGCCTGACCTCACTCCAGAAGAGGTGACAGAGATAGACGTGGCGGGGAAGAAGAAGGGCTCGGGGCCGGCGGAGTCTATTGGGAGGTACAAGAACTATGTGAGGTCTAGAGAAACGCACGCTTAGAGTTGTAATTCTTCGGAGCATGTACGAGATTCTCCATTGACTCGGACGTCAACATGGAACACTTTGGCTCTCGGCGATGACGACCAGGGCGGGAGGGCGCACCAAGAGACTCCTTCAACTGGTTTTGACACTGCTAACGCTTCGTGAGGCGCCGGCGCCAACATTGAACGGAGCAATGCATCTTGGAATGATCGTCACTAGTTAACAACAACAACTTCTTAGGTATCCACATTCATGGGCTATCGCCATGTAATAGTGCATCTGCCTCGCGTAACTACTTTTCTCAACATTTGCCTTGTGAGCAGATTGCTTTGGGAATCCGCGACAGCGTAAGGACCGAAAAAGAAAATTTGCTTGAACGGGGAATCGAACCCCGGGCGAAGCCAACATTCCTGGGAAGACTCCATGTTACCACTACACCACTCAAGCGTGTTAAGAGTCAGTCTAATTGTGCTGATGTTGCCCGGAATTGCAACCTGTCCGTATGACGATAGAAAGACCATGACTCGATATCGTTACAGCTGCTCCAGGAACGTCCAGGGAGACATGGTTTGGAAATATCATTATCAGTCTTGCGAGAAATGCATCAACTTGAATGAACCCTCAGCCGAGGTGACACCGAGTCACGCTCACGTGCGCGGCGTTTACGCTTGGACGCGTCCGAGTCTTTGCTCAATCTTTGTTTGCGACCACAACGACCGATACGTGTCTGGCGTTGCGTATCGCTTCATTAAATTGGCAGAAGAGCCGCACGGCTGCTTTTGTTTCATTCGAAAAGCATGTCTGAACCCTCGTCTCCGTATCTCGATACGAGCCTTCCCTCCACATCTTCGGCGGCAAGTCCTATGTCCAGCACACCTGCCACGTCGCCGCCTCCTGACGAAGTTGAGGAAATCAAGGAAGAAGAAATTGAGGTAGGCCCTACCCAGTACTATGACCGCTATAGTGGTAGACGGCTGCATCTCTCGCTAGCAGGAATCCGACGCAATGGCTGAAGAGTCTGTGGCGCGGATTCAAGATATGGTAAGTGTAACTCAAACCAACCCGCAAACAGCATACTGAGATAGTACATTTTATGTGCATCAGCCTCTAGACGAACGCTATACACGCTTAGAAAACCTGCTGGAAAAGTCGGCGATCTATGCTACGCTTCTCAAGCAGAGGATAGACTTGGCCAAGACGCAAGCATCGAGAGATTCCGCGTCTACTTCGCCTGCGCCACCTTCCACCAAGCTAAACTCAAAGACATTGAGGAAGGGGAAAGTGAAAGGGAGGAAACGGTGCCTTGCTGTTGACTCGGACTCTGACTCTGACGCCACTTCGTCGAAGCGTCCAAGGTTGTCTGTTGAAGCTCAGACAGAGGACGGAGCTCAGGGTGCCGGTGATGATGACACGCATACAAAGTTCACCCAGCCAGCCCTTGTCACGGGCGCCAAACTGAAAGACTACCAACTCGAAGGCGTCGCGTGGATGGCGGGACTATTTGACAACGGTATTAGTGGCATTTTAGGTGCGTCAGCTTCGCTATCTTAGTCAGGATACCATACTGAATTTCTTTTTACCTTGATTCTAGCGGACGAGATGGGTTTAGGTAAGGTACGTATGCAAGTTCCAGCTCCGTCTTATCCTTCCTAAACTCATATACACAGACCCTCCAAACAATCGCCTTCTCCGCTTACATCCGCGACAAAATCAACGGACCCTTCCTTGTCGTCTGTCCGCTCAGCGTCCTGCACAACTGGGTCGCGGAATACCAGCGCTTCGCTCCCGGGGTGCGTAAGACTAACATAAACATCCTTCCAACTCCATGTCCATTGTGTTCTGCTCCTCTTCTGGTCCCCTTCGCCCTCTTTGATGTCTCTCCACCCTTGCCTCATACGCTCTTTTTATCCGCCGTTATTCGTATTTGAGCTTGTCTGATATGCCTTGCGATCGTGCAACAGATCCCGGTATGCATGTATCACGGCACGCCGGCCGAACGCGCAGAATTACGTCGCACTGCGCTCGTACCCCCGTCTAATACCGACGCGCCTGACTTTTCGGTTAACTCAAAGGGGAAGGGCCGCGCAAAAGGCAAAGGGAAGGCATCTGGCGCGAAGAGCAAGGCTGGCGCCAATGTGAAGAAACGCTCGGCGAAAGGGAAGGCAGCAGTGTCGACGAGGAGCACGCGCGGTAGGAATGCCGTCGAGGTCGAAAGTGAAGATGAGAAAGAGGTACAGGAGACGATGCAGGTGGACGACGACGAAAAAGAGAAGGACAAAGAGGACGGCAACGGAGATAAACCAGCAGAAGAGAACGAGGAGGAGCCGCCACCGCCGGAAAAGGGCGAGTGGGGCAATTTTCCCGTCGTGGTCACAACCTATGAGTTACTGATCAAAGACCAGAAGTTCTTGAGCCAGTATAAGTGGGGATTTATTGTTGTGGACGAGGGTCAAAGGTTGAAGAATTTCGATTGTCGGTGAGTACCATCTGGTTTGATGGTTAGCCGAAGACGTGTGATTGATGTGACAATGATTAGGCTGATGAAGGAGATCAAGAAGTATGAAAGTGCTGGAAGGATTGTGTTGACTGGAACACCGCTGCAGGTAAGTTGGCGACAGAGTGGCCACTTGAGGTGGTTCGTTAACTTTGTCCTGGCATAGAATAACCTTGCAGAATTGTGGTCACTGCTGAACTTCATCCTCCCCACGCTCTTCGATAACCTCGATTACTTCCAGCAATGGTACGCGCTTACCCTTTTGTCTCGCCCTCTCAGAGCCTGAAGTTCTTTAGGTTCAACCTCACCAATTTACAAGATCACATCTCTGCTGAGCGCGCAGAGGGCATCATCGCGCGCCTGCATGCGACGCTGAAGCCCTTCCTCCTGCGACGTACCAAGGCCGACGTCGAGGTTGGGCTGAACCTGCCACCAAAGAAGGAGTACGTGATATACGTTGGTCTCAGTGAGAGGCAGAAGGAGCTCTACGATGCGATCATTAATGGTGGCCTGAGACGATTGCTCGTGCAGAAGAAAAACGGTGAGAAGATGGACGTGAAGGGTGGAAAGGAGGGCGAGGGAAGAAGGTTGAGGAGTGCGAAAGAAAAGGAAAAGGAGAGGAAGCAAGGGAAGGGGAAGAAGAGAGAGAAGAAGGGTAAGGCGACGGAGAAGTTTGATGTTCTGGATGGGGATGATGATGAGTATTTCGAACGGTTGGAGAGGGGCGAATTCCAGAGTGAGGTGTATGGGCGTAAGGAGAAGAGTACCGAGGACATGGGAAGGGAGTGGCAGTTGAAGTCAGCCTGTGGGTGCAGTCCCCCACTTGCTCAATGTCGGATACTAACGGTGATATGATTACAGTACGCCAAGTCAACAACCTGCGACTCCAAAACATTATCATGCAGCTCCGCAAAGCCTGCTCACATCCCTACCTCTTCGACTGGCCCTTGGACCCGCACACTCAGGCGCCCATCGCGAATCAAGATCTCGTGAACGCCAGCAGCAAGATGATGCTGCTTGAGCGGCTCTTAGAGGAGCTATTTCGCGATGGCCACAAAGTTCTAATCTTCAGCCAGTTCACGACCATGCTTGACATTATTGAGGCATGGGCAAGCGATTGCAAGGGATGGAACCTTTGTAGGATCGACGGATCCACGGCACCTGATCAACGTCGTGACGAGATGGAGCGTTTCCAGAGCGGTGGAGATGCGTCTGATGCACCGCGGTTGTTCCTGCTCAGTACACGGGCTGGAGGGCTTGGCATCAATTTAACCGCAGCGGATACAGTCATATTCTACGACCAAGACTGGGTGAGTAGGAACGGCTCTTTATTCTTGAGTAAAAATTAAAAGACCTCCTTGTGCAGAACCCTCAGATGGATATCCAAGCTCAGGATCGTGCCCATCGTATCGGACAAACCAAACCAGTCCTGATTTTTCGCATGGTGACGCAGAACACCATAGAGACAAAGATTATGCAGAGGGCGTCTGCGAAACGCCAACTCGAGGCGCTGGTCATCGCCAAAGGTGCGTCCGATATCCTTACCTTGCTGTGACATGCAAGTTGACATCATGTTCAGGCAAATACAAAAATCCCACTGGTGCCGCAACGAAGAGCTCGACCAGTCTTGCTGAACTCGCTGTGAACATGCTGGAAATCGAGGGGTCGCATGTAAACATTGCTAATCCCTCTTTCGCGGCTACGGTGATCAGCGACGAGGATCTGGATATGCTGCTCGATCGTAGTCCTGAGGTGTTCGAGCAGCGTGCGAGCGGATGGAACTCTAAGGAGGGTAAGCAACAAGGCGCTAAGTTTGCTGTGTACAGTGGATCCGTGGAGGGCGGGAGTGAGGTTCTGGCTGGCATGTTAGGCGAGAGGATGGAGTAATCACCCACCAATTTCCGTTCACCTCATCCTCAGCCCGCGGATTTCTTGATTAGAACATCTAGCGGGTGAATTACAGTTTATCAGGGTGTAGATATAATGTATTATTATTGTATATTTGCGCGCTTCTTACGTCTTGGATAATGTCTGAGTCTCGAATATGAACTCATGAGGCTGGTGAAAAAATTCGTCGGAGTGCCTTCGAGCTTCGGAAATATTCGAAATGCAGTGGGTGGGGACACAATCGTTCGTCGCAGTCTTGGCGTTGATCTCATCTTTCAACTTCACACACAACACAACTTTCGACGTTGTAAACTTCGCTTTGTATTGAAAATAAGAGTGCGTACGATTACCGGTACCAAATGCAGCTAGTGGAGACATAATGCAAGACTAACGAGACAGACATAATGCGAGACGAGAGTGGACGACGAAAAAGAATACAAGAATGCAGAAGACGTACAAATGCGTGTTCGGTGTTTAGGAAGGAGGGGTATAGCCCGCGAAGTAAGGGTGCACAAGGGCGCGCTTGGCTGTAAGACACAACGACTAAGTTAAGAGCTGCGGAGGAGAGACGAGTTGCTGAAAGGCTCACCGGAGATGCGCTTGGACGTGTCATAGATCAACGATTGCTGGAAGTAGGTCATGATTAGAGGATTGTGACATCCTTGGACATAGCATGCCTACCTGAAGCAAATCGATGCCATGAGCATCCAGTGTTGGCACATGACGTGCCAAATCCTGCGCGTGCCATTGGGGGAACGTGGGCTTGTAATCTTGCATGTTCTTGATATCCGGCCACGTATGTTCGTTGGGGGTACCGAGAACTCTGACGAACGACTACCAGTTAGACAGATGATCCTATCGCCCAAGAGGTGGGATGAAGCCCACCTAAAGATCTTGAAGATCTGGTCAATTTCGGAATCGCCGGGGAAAAGCGGCTGCCCGCGGAGAGCCATCTCGGCCATGATGGTCCCGACTGACCACATGTCGATTGCGGTGGAATAGTAGCGCGAGCCCAACAGTACTTCTGGGGCGCGGTACCAGAGCGTGACAACCTAAGCGGGTCGAT